AGATCCCACTTGGATCGCTGCACACTCCCAGACTATATTCAATAATGTTGATTCTATTGCATAACTATCTCATAACTATGTTACCCAGCCATGTTTCAGATTGAAATTTGATCAAGTGGAATCTGGTGACAAATTGACAAATTGATCCCCTGGTCTTGGACTAAACCTCTCGTCTTGGATTCCTGCTCTGGATTTACCCTTGGATTGTTCGCCCTGGATTCACTCCCCCCGGACACTAGCACTGCATGGACACGCCCCCCTGTCTCCTGACCGACTCCTGCATGATATTTTGCCCTATTGTTTCTTCACCTTTTTGGATCGTGTCGCCTGCATAGGGCCCGGAAAGAACTGTTCCTGACAGTAAACCACTAATGTCTGCAAGATTTGTCCTGCAGACAACTGAAATTACTGTTCCCATCTGTGCTCTCTCATAATATTGAGAGAAATATGACATCATCTCTTCATATTAATTAAAAAAGTTAATTCGTTTTAAGAATGAAAAGTTTTTTTTCTACAGTAAAGTTAGGACTTTCCCTTCATCGGGGAAGTACTTTACCTATCTGTATACAGATTCCATGTAGGGATTTTTTGAGTTCTGTAATGTTTCCCACCCAAAATGTACTACTTAAACATTGACCTGTATAGGTAAGGAAGGGCTTCACCTCTAGATCAGTCTTACTTTTAAATCCAGAGAAAAACAGGATGGCTTAACTATGAGAATTTAAGAGTCTGGATTCCATTTTATAAACATATCTTTAATCAAGACTGTACAATATGTGCTGTTTGGAATCATCTGTTTGTTTATTTAATTAGAACCAAGAGCTGAAGCAGAAGCACCACTACAAGAATCTCAGTGTGGCAGACAAGGGGGCTGAAGACGTATCACCCAGCATGACCACAGGACTCCCTGGGGAAACAGTGATTTCTAGATGCCCTCCACAATTGGCTTCTCCCACATTCTGTTCACGCTACCGACGGAGACAGCTCGCACATGTTAATCAAACAGCTCCCGCATCGACAAGAGCAAACTGGAGTATCAAAAGCCTTGCCTTTATCTGTGCACAGTTCATTTTAATAATCAGAGACATTAAATCAGGTCTGATCAGATTAAAGTCATACTAGATGTGTCTATTACAGTCATAGCTGTAACAGCTGATGTAATATTTATCCTGCAGTCTCCCGTAAGGAACATGTTGCTCTCTTTCTCAACACCTTCTCTTTAAATCAGACTTTAAACGGGAACTCCAATACTATAATTATTTTTTGTGGTGAGAAAGAATCTGCATTGATGAGTGCATCTCAAACCGCAATAAAGAAATCACACACAGTAACTTGTAAAAACCTCCAATTTGCACCACAAAATAGCTGAACTTTCCAGGTCTACACAGAGCCATATTCTGCGATTCAAAGCCAAATTCAATTCTAATTCACTTCTGGCGACGTGATGCAGCCCTATGACATTGTAAACAAGCAGGCTTGTGAATACACCTCTTTTAATCCAATAGAAACATAGACCGTTTCACAGATAAATACTACTCGTTAACTCTGCACACAGGCATGCAGATCATGCTTAATTCGAAATTTGTCAATTTGTCAATTTGTCAATGTCAATTAATTTATTTTGTTATCGAGATTTAATAACTGTTCTGAGAAACTGTGACTGCACGTCTCCATTAAACCCTTTTAATTTCACCAAAGAGAGCCAGACCCTGTTTCGGCCAGAGGGTGGAGATGTTTCCTTCGTGTGTGGTGTCTCTGGGGCAGGTCACAAATGCGGCAGTTTGGCCCAGCTGGTCTGGCAGCCGTAGGGTCAGTGACAGGTCAGCGACAGTATAGGGCTTGCTGGGAGCTCCAGACATCAGGAGATGTACATGAGAACCTGGAGACAAGGCCAGCCGTCTCCAACAGTGCCCATCAGGAACAAATCAATTTTCATAGTTTATTCAAGAGCCTTTCCTTATTAAACACCCCTATCACCCAGATTAAAGAAATGAATTATGAAAATGAGCATTCACAGAACTGTAGAACATCAGGATTTGAGCGATTATGGTATTGCTGTGCTCAGTTTTCCCCTGTCTAATGACCTCTCTTGTCCTTAATAATCATCTGGAAACATCAGAATAAACATCTGGCTGAAGCATCCTTCCGAAGCAGCCATGTTGGCAGTGAATATCCTGCCATTGGTCCTGGAGAGCCCCAGGCCAGTTAGTCATCAAAGCCACCTTTCATGGCAACACCTGTAGGCTACTGAGGAATCAAGGAAGCACTCTGTTCAGATTAGAGAACTCTGGTCCTTGAAAAATGTCTTAAACTTAAACTTAAACTTAAACAGATCACCCATATTATTGATCACAGTGGAACTATGAACTTCTTTAGAAATTGGTGATTGTATGGTGGTCTACAAAACCTGAGGGAAGAGGCTCCCTGGCACCAGGGTTGGAAACTCCTGCTGCAAAGAAATAGGCAAGGATGGGTCATCAGCCCTGAGAAAGACAGCTATCAAAAAGCTCAGGGTGTTTATACAACACCAGATTGAATATAAAGTCCTTTTTAAGCATGACTCAAACAAGGGATTCTCTAATGCCCCTGCCCAATAGAGAATCAAATGGAGAGACTAGACCTTTTGAGAAAAACAACAGCAGTATCAAGGGTACTGCAAACCATGTCCTCCCTTTCACTGAAAACCACTGGATGTTCCCTCGGGGACAAAACCTCTCACATACAGGTGACGAATATTATAATAAGATCACCTTCCATCCGGCTCCAGTTTTCATGCACAATAGAAGATTAGATCTCGAGAAGCTAAAAGCAGCATTGCTTCATGTAACACACAGATTGAATTTTGGAACTCTCTCATTATTTTCGATTGAGCTTTCTCAGCAGAACATGCCAGGCGGTGTCCTCTTTTCTGAACTCCTTCATGGAGCAGGGTGGAGGTCTGCAGGGACACCTGGGAGGCTGGTGGTTTGGCTCTGGGGAGGGGTACCTCTGTTGTACCCTTGAGCAAGGTGCTATGCCTGCAGTGGTGGAAATGGATGCCAGGGTAAGTCACGCGGAGATAAAAGCATCAGCCCAATAAATCGGGAAATTAAATTTCTTTATGTGGCCACCCCGCTCCTCCAGCTGACTATGGTAATGAGAAGAAAGCGTAGCCACCGAATGACGGCCATTCTAGCGCCAGATCCGCTCCCTGTTATCACTCTTCAATAAAATAAATCAGGCAACAAACACCTTGAAGAGTCCTACAAAACAATACGTATACGGGCACGAAGATCCATGTACCGTCTGCAGCTGTAGTTCATCTTATTTAATGGCGTGACGGAGCGCAAGACAGAGAGGTGTGAAATACCGAAAGAAAAAAATCGTCAAAAAAGATCGTCAATAAAGCTTTCGAAGAGCTCTGCACGCATGCACGCCGTGCAAACGAGAACAATGCGTTGTTTTTCGTTGTATGGGTAATTTCTTATTTCTTCAGCGTGACTCATTAAACGGGGTGCAGAGTAAGTTAGGGGTTTCTCGCTCCTATGCCGAGATCCCTGGCTCGCAGCTAGAAACTCGAGCGTGAGTTATCACACTCCGATGACACCAACAGCCAGTCGTCTAGCTCCACTGACACACACCCTCCCCTCTCCTGTCTTCTGTCTAGTTGCACAAAACGCCATTAGCATTTTAAAAAGCTTTGCAAATTAAAGGGGGAAAGAAACAAATCATTTCCAGTCATTATGTTCAAATTGTGAGGTGGTGATTTAAAAATGCCGTTGTAAAAGCTTGAATTTTCTTCACCTCTCAAGAATTTTCTCCTGGGTGCTTCCTAAGGCTTTGGAGCCTGATTGATTCATGCATTATAATTAGTTTCTTTTTGAGAGAACTGCAAGCCGGATTACTTATCCACTTTTGTTTAAAAATCACCTTTTTTTGTCGAGTTACTGAATTTGCATTTTTTTAATTTGAGAAAACAATGAAAGGTTCGAAATGCATAAATCTTTAGGCTGGAGTGAAGATCGTGAATTGAAAGCGACATCCAGAATTCTGTCAATACAGCTTGTCAGCCCTTTAATTGTCAAAGAGAACAGACTGGAGACTTCAATCGAAATAAAAAGGTCTTCAGAGACCGATCACAGTGGAATCAAAATAAAACAGAGTGAAGCTGAATAAGTTACAGACTGATCAATTGATGAAGATATTGTAAGAAAGCAAAAGCACTCAGCTGCAGTTATTGAACAATATCTGCTACCTCAGTCGCTCATTTTCAGTGTACATAATAGCTTAAGAGTGCTTATCTCACAATTATTTCTCTTAGAAGCCCAAACCATTAAAATGCCTTCTACAATCATCCTGAGACAGAGCAAAACACCATAGTTATTTATCAAGATGTTATCCAGATTGCAAGAGGTCCCTCAGCTGCTTCTTAATTTCTTGCCTTTTCATCATTTGTTCTGTAAAGACCAGCCATCCTTACGACACAGACCTGCACACAGTTGTGCTTTATGACTGGCTGCAGCCAGCTTAAACTTCACTTCACTTTGTGTGAACTGGGTCCCTCCCCATATGTAAAACCTTTTGGGATTCTTACAGAAGAAAAAGCACCATTAGATATGAACTACTGATGTTGTTAATTTTTCTTGTTCTCGACTATACTGTGTTCCTTTACCTTTAAAAATGAGTCACTGAGAGTGTCTGTCAAAAGTAACTGTGATTGAAAACAGTTTAATAACTTCTCAGGCGTATAATTCTGGGAAGCAAGTGTCACTCAGAAGCTTGTACAGTAACAAGTGTCTTGGGATGTTGTTTTCTGGAGTATGAACAGCAGAGTATAAGGCTCTTCATCTTACCTGGACTTAAAGTTTACAGGATTAAAATCAAACACCTCTCTAGTAATACAAATTGAGATACCTACTGTATTTAAGTAGCACAGCTGGATTCATGCCTCATGAGTCAAACAGTGAAAAATGTAATTCTCATTTTACTCCAATATAGATCATGCAGTGTTATAAGAACAAAACTGCCAACTAAAATAGATTGAAAAAGGAGTCTGCCTAAATTAAACTGCTGCATTGTGAAATAGAGTGACTGATATGAGAGCAATAATACTGTATTATGATCTTATTAATCTATTAGGAAAGTGAAAAAAACAATAAGTGAATGTGTTTTCTTCTACTGCATCATTGAATTAACTGCTTGAAGAAGACTGGATTCTTTCTTTAAGCGTGTGAATGTCACCTTTATTTCACTTCCGTTAACACAGACCTAATGTATGTCCTTTACCTACAGACACCCACAGAACGTTTGCAAGCCCTGTACATTAGCCCCGGCTTTAATGATTATTAAAATCGCCTGAAAATGCATGTTTATAGATCTTGATCTTTTTCTAGAGGAAGAAATTGACGTGCACACCAGCAGATCCCCGCAGGGGAGCCTTATTTAGCCTGTGATCGTTTTAAATGTGATTTTTCTGCCTCGAATCTGTGTGCGTTTTTGTTATGTAAAACTGCCTGAACTCTCAAGGTGCGCTCGCAGTTGTTATTTGGAAAAGGCTCTCTGTGTGTGGGCAGTTAAGACTCACAGCCTGTATGGTAATGGAAGGAGAGGTGTTGCAGTGCGTTTTATAACAGTCAGAGGTAAACTCATCCAATTTTACTGCATGTTCTTCTGAGTGAGTCAGACTGTTCTTACACCATTTTTAGCAAAGGTATTCTTACATGAATGCCCTGTGGAGTGCAGTGACAGAAATCATGGTCTAGCATCTATGCCCTTTTGGATGCTAAAACAATAGTTTACAACACACAGGCGTTTTTTGTGAACAAGAAATCTTGTTCATTTTTGGTCCAACTCAAATGTTCTTACGGAAAGGAGAGGACAATAAACTCATTCTTCAGTGCAGATTTTAGACCAGGCCCAATGTATTACATAAGGAGTCACCTTTTATACATATTGTTTTAATTAGCACATCAGATTTGCTCGTGTTTGCAACCACAAAGCCTGGTTTTGGGAGGAGAGACTTCACAGTGAGTAAATCCATTGTGTTATCTGACAGAAGTAAACACTTGAGTGGCAACTTTGGAGTCATTAGTTTCAAAGGCTGCCGGATTAGCTATGGAGCAAAGCAGGAATATTCCGAATTCATTTGCATTAATCTTGGTCTTTGGTCTCTTCAAGGAAAATAGGAAGCAAAGCTAGAAACATGCTTAGATCTTGCTCTGTTATTAAACAGCAGTGACCAGTACAGCATGAGTATAACTTCACTATTGAAAGGGGTTGTTTTGTGGCAGGTTGTCTCGTTACAGTGATGCTCTTCTCAGTGTCCCCTGTCTCTCCAGGACATCCGTGGATCTATTTGGACTGGCTCCAGCCCCAGAAAGGAGGCTGCCCCAGCTGCAGGGAGGTGGTAGGTGTGGCACTGGCCACTTGAATTCAAAGTCCTCAGCAGATTTCAATTAAATTGGTCAGTTACGCCACAGTAGCATCAATTGTCCTTAAACATTTGACACAACCTATTTTAAAACATGTTCAGCAAGTATGGTTAAAAAAAGCATTCGGCTAACATTTGTCTTCATAAGAAATCTTGTTCTTGGTACATGATACCACACTTATTAATACTCCTGTATTAAGACTTTTTGAAAGTCTGGGCATTGTTACACACAAGACACAGAATAGAAGG